CTTTGTGCCAAGACCATGTTCTTTGTGTTCTAGCATTGCACAAAGGATTAATCCCAAAATAGATAAAGCATTTCTTCCATTTTTGCAAAAGGTAGCTTTATGTCCAATTACAAATCCAAGAAGTACAGTCCATATCTAATTGGCACAAGTTTATGAGTTAATCACACTGATCAAGGAGGGATTATGCAGCATAGTATGAGGGCCTGTACAGGCTAGAGGCACAAAGTAACCATTGCTTGCTTAAAGTGTAAGAAACACATCATAACATATACCAACTTCCATATCAGTCAACCAGGCCTTAGAGAAAGATATCAAACACATTCCAAACATTGATCCTAAGCTGAAGCACGACCCTAAGATCCTCAACACCTCCACAAACTCAAAATCACCTTGAAACTGCTCAAACAGGGCAACCTCTGCAGATTGAGTTCCAACTCTCAATCCTTTCAAGCATTCTTGCCCAAACCAGTTCACACACCTCCCCTACCATCTATGCAAACTAACCAAAGCCTAAAACACGACCTGTAACTCCTCTAACTGGTTCCACCATTTTCACTTTTCTGATTTGCAGGTGAAGTGCTCTAGCACTATTCAAAAGCTTTCAAGACAAAGTAAAGCTTGGAATAGCATCCCTGGACCTCAAGGAAGCTATACCAATCATCACCTTGCACTGAAAGCTTCTCCATTGCCAGATAGAACTTCAACTGAACATGTAAGTTTTTGAATTCGTATCTCTCTTATTAGGCATTGTTAGCTTTAGGTTTGTGAAGAGAATATGTCACAATCATTGCCCTGAACATGCCCATATAATTAGATTTTATTTATATTATGTGTGTTGCAAGAATTTTGGGTCTGAACTTGGAAGAAAATCTAGGTCAGGATTTGGGGGAGAAGAAATTCTCCCTCATCTTAGAGAGTTAAGACAAGTTCTGCATATGGTTGGATTCGTCTCTTGATGCTGAACATTTTTTATGTTGTAAGTTTTCATTAAAAAGCCAGGAATCAGGAGTTAGAAGTTTGAGAAGAAGGGCGCGCGTTTTTGAACTGGTTTTGTCTGAAGGTTGAAGACAATGTCTTCTTGGGCTGGGCCTGAGTTATTTTCTTATTCACACCACTTTTTTGCCTTTGCACCCCCTAAGCCCATTTCATTCATTTTATTGATTTTTTTACTTTTCTTTTTTTGGTTTGACTCATTTATTTTTTCTAATGATATTAAAAATATGAAAAATATTTTTCTCACCATTTTCCTATTTTTTAGGTATTTAATTGTTTATATTAACATTTGTACATAAATAGATAAATACATATAATTTTATTTAAATATTAAAATAGTGCAAATACATTTTTATACATTTTTATTTTGTTTTACTTTCTGAAAATATTTTATAGAAAAAAATACTTTTTTTTATTAAATATTAAATATTATTAATTTGTGTATATAATGCATATTTAATAAATAATACATATATATATATATATATATATATATATATTTATTAATGTATTTAGGGTAAAAATGCAAAAATACATACATTTTTTATTTTTATTAATATTTAAATATAAAAATACCTTTTCACAAATATACTTCATTTTATTTTATTTTTATATAATAAATAAATATTTGTACATAATAAATAAATAATGCATTTTATTTAATGGAATTAGGGTTTTTGCCCTAAAATACAAAAAAAAATCTCCAAAATAATATTTTTTTATTTTGTTTATTTGACATAAAATAAATACCTTTTTTTCATACATACAAAAAAACCATTTTTTGCATCTTACATATTTATTCTTATTTTATTTAATTTGTGCAATTAAATATCTTGTAAACAATTCAATTGATGTAATAGTTTAGGTTTAAATTCCTTGTCAAAAATCCCCATTTGAACATTTGTACCCCCCCTTCCCATATTTGGTTTTGTAATAGCTTAGTAAATTTATTTTCGCACTTTATTGCTTTCTAATTATACCATGTTAGAATTAGGGTTTGTATGCGAAAAAACGACAAAAATAGTTATGACCTAATCTCAAGACAAACAAGCATGAACATGAACACACAAATCACACTTGCACCCCCTAGGGTATTCCACTTGTTGCCTTTCAAAATTGGGCCATATTGCATGCTAGGTCTCTTTAGGCAAAACAAACACAAATCAAATGATCATAGTCCCTCGATGACGCTTTCAAAATGTTGCCTAAACAAATGATCAAGTCCCTTAAGAAAATTGCCTAAAGATACTTAGCACCATTGCAATTATGGTCTAAACGATGACCCGCGCCCGTCCCTTTCACATCCTAACATGAGATTGTACACCAAATGCAATGATGGAACAAACTTGTTAAAAGGGTTAAAACATAGCAATAATCTTTGAGAAAATTAGGAGTAGATAACCTCTTAGTCACTTGAATCAACTTGCAAAAACAAAACACTTGCCTATTTTTCAAATCACACATCAATACACTTTCAAAACAACTTTCAAAAACATGGAAACCTTTTCAAAAGACATACACCTTTGTATACATCCCAACATGGATCATTACAAAGGTTGCCACCACATTGGCTTCTTTTCAAAACATTTTCAAACCCACACACAAAGTACCATTTCAAACAATTGAAAACAAAAGGAAAGTGATCTAAGCAAGTAACTAAGAGCCCATGGATAACCATGGATAGAAAGGGTGCTAATACCTTCCCTTTCTATAATCTACTCCCCGAACCCAAGAAAACATCTCAAAGGTTTTTGCTGTGCTTTTTAACCTTTCCTTAGGATAAAATAAAAAGTCGGTGGCGAATCTTGCTTAACCGAACAAGTGCGAATACAAACGCAAAACCACAGTCAGTTCTCCCACCGTATCACAGAACTGGCGACTCTGCTGGGGACAATTTTAAAAGTGGAGTAACCTTAGGGCTTAGATCACCTTTGTTTTCAATTGTTTGCCTTGTTTGCTTTTATAATTGTGGGCTTTCCATCGGAGTTTCATAGATCCTAACCCGGATCTGGGGAATACCCTTTTTAGGTAGCATAATCTGTGAGGGACCTATCCGGCGTAGACCGACATGGGTGAAGCAGTGACTACGTTGGTGTGGCACCTTGGTCTGTACCTATATCCCTTGTGTTGCAACGGGGAGAATATAGGTCTTCTAAGGAGTCATTAAACACCAACTGACCTTAGAACCTTAAATTGACCAAACTTGGCCATTAGGACAGTAGCAGTATGCTACACTCATTGAGGCTAAACTCTCGAGATGGTTATGGCTGCAAGAAAAGATTGCGATGCTGGAGTTATGACCGATTGAGGGTAGCCAATGATTTGAGATCCTCTAGAACCCGATTACTTTTGATAAGACAGGTTTTAACCAACAAAACTAAAAGAGGGTAATACCTAAACTTCATGTTGGCATGGAACCTAAGGGTTGTCTTGTGTGACTTGTGTGCCTTATCATGCTTGCCAATGTGAATACTTGTGGTGTGCTTCATCATAGCATCATTCCATCATGCCATTGCATGCATCCTGTACAAAGGACTAACCCATTTCAAAGACAAAAAAGTTTCATCTTTGCTCTGTTTTGTAGGACATCATGATGCCCGTGCGTAGGAATACTGTCCGGCTCAACTTTGTTCAACCACCAACTTTGCTCAAGGATTTGGTTGGTAGGATTCCAAATACTTCCTCCTTCATCAACAGACATGGTTCTCTCCTTGGTTTGATCACTGCAAAATGGGACCAACAACTGATGAGTGTTCTGACCCAGTTTTATGACCCTCTGTATCATTGTTTCACCTTTCAAGACTTCCAGCTGGTTCCTACCCTGGAAGAATTCTCCTACTTGCTTGGGATCCCTGTCTTGGAGCAAACTCCTTTCACTGGTTTGGAAAAGACTCCTAGGCCTGAAGAGGTTGCTGCAATTCTCCCCTTGACCAAGGAAGAGGTATTGGCTAACTGGGAAACTCGAAATGGAGTAAAGGGCTTTTTGGTCAAATTTCTGGTTGGCAAGGCTAATGATTTCTGGAATGACTTGGACTTCAAGGTGTACGAAGATATTCTGGCTCTTTTGATCTATGGTCTGGTATTGTTTCCCAATCCTGACACCTTTATCAGTATCCATGTCATAAAGATTTTCATATCTCAGAATCCTGTACCCACTCTGTTGGGTGATCACTACAAGAAAAATGATAGATTGGGACGGTTATTTTGGCTGATTACGACGGTTAAAACTGTCGCAATTTACAATCTACGACGGTAGAAGTACCGTCGCAGAATCGTGCGTCCCCAGCCTATTTCGCGACGGTTGCAAAAACTGTCACGCACAACAGATGGCGACGGTTATATACCGTCGTGAATTTGACTTTATTTTTTGTTTTTGTTGTTGTTTGCGACGGTTATATACCGTCGTGAATTTGACTTTATTTTTTGTGGTTGTTGTTTGCGACGGTTATATACCGTCGTGAATTTGACTTTATTTTTTGTGGTTGTTGTTTGCGACGGTTATATACCGTCGTGAATTTGACTTTAACCGTCGTAATCTGATTTATAAATTTCAAATAATATTTTTATTTAAATTATTATTTAGTAAAATAATTTTAAATATAATATTATTTTACTATAATATTTTACTATTATATTTAAATTATTATTTACTTTAATATTTTTAATATTTTTTTATTTATAGTATTTTTATTTTATTTTCTATCACTTTTCAACATTGTTTTGAAATGAGCAATCCAATTGTTTTGAAATATTTACTAACTCAGTATTATTAATTCAGTTGGGAAACCATTTGTAAAATAATGCAAGGAGACATTGCTTTTACTATTGAAGCGTGAGATTTCCGTGAGATACCAGTACTTATTATTGGGAGAAAAGATTTATGAATTATTGCACATTGTAATATGCTTATACCACCTTATAACTTTGCTACAGGTTACCTATAACAAGTGAGATTTTCCGATTTTCAGGAACTATAACAAAAAGAGGTTAGCTCCGAAATCTCTTGATCATTTTGCAATCTTTGCAGCCATTTCTCTGACCAACTTAGCAGCTACCATAGCAGTCATTCCATCAACAGTATCGCGTTGTGGGTTGAGTTCAACGACGTCTCCAGCAACAACATCACCTTGAAGATTGTGTAGGATGTTAAGAACATCGCGGAAAGAAAGACCTCCCGGTTCAATATGAGACACTCCCGGAGCAAATGCAGGATCAAGACAATCCACGTCTATCGAGATATACACCCCTTTCACACCTTCCCCTAGTTTCTGCACAAGGAAATCACCAAGGTTTAAAAAGAACATACAAATGCACAAGTTAGTATCAATACATGTTTGGAATTTACTATGCGCACGCGTGCGTACGTGCATATATACACGAGCATACAAACACGGAGGCAGAGAGAGACATACCAGGTTCACCAACCATTGCGTCTAGTCCCTAAGATCATTAACCATGTTTAAACAAAATGATTAAATAAAAAAGAACACGCTCAATATGAAGGGGCAGAATATTTCAAACTGTAAAATAGAATTTACTATGACGTTACATGTACATTCAGGAGGAACATGAATACCTTGTACTAATACAGTGAATTGATCGATGAAGCTCCAGCTTGGAGGAATAGAAGCAAGCAATTAGTTGTTATGCAATGTACTCATACTCCTTCATGTAATATTAACATCAACCATGAAACTCAATCACTGTCATACAGGTTAACATAAACAATAATAATTGAAAGCATGTATTTAAAAAAAATGTGAGCAATAATCACTTACAAAATAAAGAAGAATGCAAACAACCCCGATGAAAATGTAAGCAGCGCAAAATTGAATCTGTAACCTTGATAAAGGCCAAATCTAGCGATTAGAGTTCCTATGTTATAACTGATACAAATTAAACGAAAAGACTCGAATTTCAATAACACTTACTACAAATATTTCACTCACAAGTGTAGTAGTGTAAATAAAACAACAAACATTAAAATTGTCATTTGTTAGGTGCCATCATCACAATACCCTATAAGACCAGTCAAGTATTTATGATGAACTATAGCAAAACATTTGGCCTTTCAATCACAAAGGATAAAACTTGTTAACTGTATTTACACTCACACAGGCATGATGACATTTGCAAGTTAGTTAATCATACTACCTCTACTTGAAATTGTAGATATCCTTGAGCTGATGAGAAAGATAGCATTTTGACAGCTACGTCAATATCATCACAATCCAGCCATGGTAGACTATTTCAGATGCTTCTTTCCCCCACCACCTTTTAAGCTTAGGGGAAGAAGATTTCGGTCAGGGAATATTTATAAATAAAAAAAACAAATATCAAAATGATTAGTTTCACAACTAATAAAAGTTCAAAATCGATCTTGACCATTCTTTTATCCTAACCAACTTTCATTCAATAATTGAGATCTCTCTAGCTCTAACCGATTTCATAACAAACTTCTAAAAATCATATAACATATTTTCAGAGAGAATTCACAGATATTAGGATTCACGATCATCTTTCACCAAAAATCCATAGAAAAAATCACAAAACCTGACCTCTCAATCTCTCTCTAAAAAGCACCACAATCATTCATTATCTTCATCTTCAATTTTCTCTGCACTTTCTCCCCTGCTTCATCGCCATAACCAAATACTCCCTTCAATATTCATCATCATCCTTCAACCACCTCTGTCTTCAATCTTGGCCCTCCTCTCTGCAACATCAAGAACCCAATGATTCGTCATATTCACGTTGCATTTCAATCTTCAACCGCCATCAACAATATTTCGTCTCCAACGAACAAAGCATCTACACTGCTCAAAGGCAGCGCACAAATCCACAACAAAAACACAAGAATCAAGGAATAAGAGAGTGAAAGCATAAAAACGCACCTGAGTTATTTGCAGAAGATTCACGAATTCTCGCCGACTTCGTCATTTTTGAAGAAGCGCCATACTCCTTTCTGGTAGGTAAGTATCAGAAATAATCAAACCTTCAATCTCTTAGGTCCTTTTTGCGTATATGTATGGCATAAAACACTCATCGAAGAAGCTGGTGAATGGAAGTGAGGCAAGAGATTGAGTGGAGTCACGATGAAGTTTGGATTGCGGAAGAACGAAATCAGATGGAGATTAAGAAACGAGCGAGACTGAAAAAGAACGGTGGCGTTGTGTTTGAAGTCCATTGAGGTTGATGGAGGACAAAATCGCTGCGAACAAGAGATGAAGAAGAACCGGCCTCCGTGCCATCAAGAGAAGAGAGGAGGGAGGAATTTGTGTTTGAGGAAGGTGATGGGTCACATAATTGAGCCCTAATTCCATGATTCTGCCCCTTTATCAATTGTTATTTTCTTTTTTTCCTTTTTTTATATAAATAATACATAAAAAACTAAATAATTAAAGAAATTGTTTATTGGATTGGATTATGGACCGAAATCTTCTTCCCCTAAGCCTAATTTACCAGTTTTATGTATTTTAAGAGCTTTTTAACTTTTTTACGGCGACGGGTGTTTTACCGTCGTGCCCATGAGAATTTTTAAAGGTTTTGGGTGCGACGGTTGTTTTACCGTCGTGAAATGAATTTTAGGACGGATAATTTTACCGTCGTGAAAGGTTTAAGGGTGCGACGGGTGCTTTACCGTCGTGATATACCTTTTAGGACGGTTAATTTTACCGTCGTGACTAGTTGTTGGTGAAAAATCAATGTTAAAAGTGTTAAATGGGGGCCGACGGTTGTTTTACCGTCGTAATAATAATATTATGATGGTTAAATATACCGTCGCAAAATAAATATTAGGGACGGTTGGTGTCAACTGTCGTAAACACTGTCGCTATATGTCAATTACGACAGTTATCACATAACTGTCGCAATTTTTGTGTCGTTAAACACTAATTTTCTTGTAGTGGATCAGGCATTGGTGAACTACGAGTTATTTTTAATTATCATGCATTCTTTCATACAAGTTAACAGTTAAAGGGGGTGCGGAAAATAAATTGCGGAAACGTAAATCCTACGCTATTACAAGGTGCGGGTCTATACATCGCCAAAAATTTACAAAGACCCGTTTTAAGTAAATAAGTACAGAAAATATAAAAAACAGTAAAAGGTCCTATTTACTATTACATATCCGGAACAATTACATAATAATCGAACAAATAAAATATGCGCGAATAAAGAAAAGGGAATTAATTTTTTGTCTTTTTTTTGGTAATTAAATGAAATTGAAAACTAATTAATTATTTTAATTACAAGAAAATATTTTTGATTTTTTATATTTTTTTATGAAATAAAATAGAGATAAAAAGAAACAAAGTTAAAGATTAACCTAAATCTAAATCTATTTTAATTATTAAAATGTTTAAATGGCCTAATTAAAAACTAGTTCAATTATGATTTATTTACAAAATAAAAATAATAACAAAAGTGTTAATTATATTTTTTGGTTTTTTATGAAAACGGTTAATTAAATTAATTACTAATAATAAATAAAAATAGAAAAAGGCAAGAAATTAAATGGACAAAATAAAAATGAGAAAGAAAAATAATAAAATAAAGAACCAAGTGGAGGGGGTGTTGGGCCAGGAATGGGGTGAAATGCTGAAATCTGGGCCCATTAAGACCAAGGCCTCGTTGACCTTTTTTGCTTGCATGTGCGTCCATTGACTGAAGCATATGGTGAGCCTCTTTTGTGGCCTTTGGATCTGTGACTATGGCCAGTTGGCACTTGATTGCCTGAAGCTTATGGTGTGCCTGCTTTTGAAAGTCTGCATGTGAACATGTAAAATAAAATAACATCAAGCATTTGGGGGACCTGGGATTCGAACCCAGGTCCCAAGGATTACATGACACTCTAGCCACCACTGAAGCACTTTGACGCATTTGTTAATAACGTACAAAACAAATATTATATGAAAAGAAAGTCAATAATGCTGAAACACAAAAAATTGCGCGCGTGGATTTGAATACACCAATGCCTGCTTGCCACGTCCCTTGTCTTCTACCTTTTCTGCAAAACAACAAACATATAGCGGGGGTTTTAAACCCCCCCAAAACACAGTAAAAATGAAAATAGCGAACAGCTCATGCTTGCACATAAATTGAGCGCGAGGTCATGGTTATGTCCGTTTGGATGTCACGAATTCAACCATGGCAGTTTGATGTCCCAATTTTATAGTATGGGGAAATCCCCAATTTGGAGCTCTAAAAAAACCTAGCTTTTGACAATGGTGGATCCTGATACACGCATCATTAGTTCAATCAAATGCTACCAATAGCTTCAGAATGTTAAAATGAGTATAAATCAATTTAAAAAGCATGTTAAAAACGCATGGAAATGGAGTTTTGATTTTCACATATTAGACAAACCGTGTGACTTCGTGTGAATGGTTCTTTGCGTGTTTGGGCTTGATTTTGATTGCTAGAGCTTCCTTGGGATATCAGGAATGTGTTTGGATTGGAATGGAGGCTTGAGAGGCACTGCAACTAGGTTTTCAGATTTCAAGTTTGTGTGACAATTTTGCAATTTGGTATGGCTGTTTTTGGAGCTCTTAGGTCGTGAATCCAATTGTGTTAGCTTGCATACCTGTTATGTAATGAGTTTTGATAAGAATTATAGCCAATAATGCAATGCATTCATGTTTGGGATTTTCCATAAACCTCCATTGAAGCACTTTCCATCTTTGTACCAAAATTTGAATTCTTGCTTCTTTTAGGCCCTTGCACGAAATTGGAATGTTAATGATGATGTATCAAAGCAATTCAATACAAGAAATATCCCCTTAATTAACTTCTTTGATTTTATTTGATTTTAAATGATTTAAAATGAATTAAATCAAATAAAATTAAATAAAAATGAAAAAATTAATTTTAAATTTTGAAATAATTTGTGGGACACGTGGGAAGCATGGCCAAGCTGAATCAAGTGGAAAAAGTGGGCCCCTTTTGTCAAAAATGAAATTTCAAGGATAAATGATTTTGGCCATTTCACAAAAATTTCCCAACTTCTCCAATGCATATCTTGCTCAATTTTGAAGTTATGAACATGTTCTTGGACATTTTGGAAAGGTCTTGAAGTCCTCTAACCAATGTCTTTGGTCCCATGTCAGTTTGGTTTACCAATCTCAAGTTATGGTCTTTGACTTAAAGTCCCTTTTTGTTGACTTTTGAAAATGACCTATAATACTAAAATTGATAACTTTTTGTGAGAGAATTTATTGGACTTGGGATGTGAAGATGAGTTGTAGGAAATGTCCTCCCCTTCAAGATGAGCATTGGATGGGATTTTTCTGATGAACCATGAAAACGTTATGCCTTGGTCAAGTTACAATTGACTTTTCAGCTGTCCAAAAATAGAAACTTTTGACACCTTGATGATTTTTGAGCCATTCTTGTGAAATCATGGTCAAGACTTGACCAAATGATGATTGTGGCTTCAAAATAAGATGTTGACCAAAAATTTTGACTTTTGACTGCCAAATGACCATTTTGCCCCTACAGTTGACTGTTGAGCAATTTAGGGTTTTTGACTGTGCAACTTGACCTTGTGAGCCTTGAAACTTGACATGTAGGTGCTTGACAAAGTTTATGAGCATATGGGACTTGATTGAGCCCTTGAAAACCTCAGCTTCCTTGTGAGAACCAAAACCCTAGTTTGACTGGCTTTAGGAGGATGGTTGACTGTGTAGCCCTTGAGTAGACTTGAGATGATGCTTGCCAAAACTTTGAAGAATATGGGAGGGCAAATTTTGGGGTACAACAGTTGCCTTATACAAAATGGCCATATTACGCATGTAAGGTGTCTTAGCAAAAAAAACAAATATAACATCATAGTCCCTCGATGACGCTATTCAAAGTTGCCTTACAAAATGATCTTTGTCCCTCAAAAATGCTAAGATACCTTGCAAAATTGCTAATCATGGCTATATGATGACCCACGCCCGTCCCGTTTACATCCAAAAATAGGGTTGCTTACCAAATCAATGGTAAGACAACAATATCAAAGGAAAATAAAATGAACAAGAAAGACATTTGAGTAGGTAGATTGCTCTTAATTACTTGCTCCATTTTAAAACAAATATCCTTTCTATTTTCAATACAAACACACACATTTCCAAACATCTTACAAACATTGAAAACATTTTCAAAAAGATCAACATCTTTGTATACATTCTTACGAACGAGAATCATTACAAAGATTGCCTAAACAATGGCCTCTTTTACAAAATACTTTCAAAAAACCACACAAAGCACAATTTCAAACAAAAGCAAGTGATCTAGCAAGTAACTAAGAGCCCATGGAAAACCATGGATGAAAAGGGTGCTAATACCTTCCCTTTTCATAATCTACCCCCCGAACTCAAGAAACAATCTCAAAGGTCTTTTTTATGCTTTTTCACCTTTCCTTTTGGATAAAAGAAAAGTCGGTGGTGACTCTTGCTAACCGCGACATTTGCGATAAAATGCAAAACAATCAAGTCAGTTCTCCCACCGTATTACACCCTTGTTTTTCCTAGGTGTGTAAACCTAGCGAGTCTCTTATGCGTAGTATCTTTTGACTATGTCTGCGTTTGCAGGATGCGGCAGGTCATCGCCATCCATGGTGGTCAAGATCATTGCCTCACTAGAGAAAGTGTTTCTGATTACAAATGGTCCTTCATAGGCAGGAGTCCATTTTCCCCTTGGATCACCTTGTGGAAGTATGATGCATTTGATTACCAGATCCCCAACTTGATACACTTGGCGTCTGACCTTTTTGTTGAATGCCTTGATCATCCGTTTTGATACATTTGACCATGGAAAATAGCAGCAAGTCTCTTCTCATCAATCAAGTTTAGTTGATCAAGTCGAGTCTGAATAAAATCTTCTTCATTAAGCCCTGCATCCTTCATAATTCTTAGAGAGGGGATCTGAACCTCAATAGGCAAGACGGTTTCCATGCTGTAAACCAGAGAATAGGGTGTTTCCCCAGTTGATGTGCAAGTTGTGGTACGATACCCGTGGAGAGCGAATGTTAACATATCATGCCAGTCTTTGTATGTGACCTTCATTTTCTGTATGATCTTTTTAATTTTCTTATTTGCAGCTTCGACAACACCATTCATCTTTTGCCGAAAAGGGAAAGAATTGTGATGCTGGATCTTGAAATGCTCGCACAAGGCGGTGATCATAGTCTTGTTGAGATTTGTA